TCTTCCCTGACAACCTGATAAAAGGTTGGCCATATTCCCATACTTATTAAGCTCTCAAGTGATGCAAATTGTAACAAATATGCCAACCAGACTGGAAGAGCACTGCCTAGTTTGTTTTTACACAAATCTGTAACTGAGCATGGTTATTTTCCTAAGAAGCAAACAATATAAACAATACAGAGCAAAACAAATTTTTGGCTCCTTTAGCCTCTTTTCATTCTATTTTCTTTCTATCCCATTAAGTGAATCAGATGTTCAGCATTACACAGCCTCTCCTTTGGTTACACACAGCTGCAGGCACTGGGTGGGACTCCAGTGCCTACAAACACCTAAGAGGAAACATAGAGAACAAAGCCAATATACAAGCAGTGAGAGGCTCTGTGCAATGTTATGTAATGTTACTGACCTCTTTTATGGGGCAGCTGGAAGACAGTTACCTTCTGAACATGTTAGTTGGATAACAGAAAGAGAGATTAATGAAAGCCTTTGTTAAAATTCTCTTGGAAGCAGTCCAGCTGTAATCATCTCCCTTCTGATGTTCCTTGAGCACTGGACAACTCATCACATAAGCATTTATGGACTGGTGACTGCACACAGATCTTAAGTCTGAGATCCTCCTATGTAGTCAAGTAAAATCACTAACACTTTGACTCTAGTAAGGAGAGGAAGAGGAGAGAAAGAAAGGAAAAGACAGGATCAGCATGTTAGAGGCAAATGAGAGGTATGAATTTAAGGACATTTTAAAACATTATCCATATTTCCTGCAGTCTGGGCACAGGTCAAAGCATCACACAGGCATGCTTGTGGTGGTTCAGGCAACAGAGCAGCACCAGCTCTCCCAGGTAACAACTGTACACAGCGAGCAATCACACCACTTGAAGCACTGCAAATCCACAGGCTGTAATTCGTTCAGGCAAATGACTCAGCCACAATTGATTAATCAAATAGGCATGTCTCTTACACTCTCAATTAGACAACTCTGTAAAACCATGATCAATGTGAAGTTAAAATAACCTGCTAAAAAGCAGCACTACACCCTCCCTTTCTTGATACACTTCCCCAAGTAGCTTCACTATTCTTATAAACTCTTGTTGACCTGCCAGTCATCTCTATAAGTGAGGTTTTGGTATTTCAAGGCAACAGTCTGGAGGGTTCAGAGTTGCTGCTAAGGATTTCTCCCATATCTGGGTGTGGTGGGAATACCCAAATAAATGACTTCATCTTGCAGTAGGTGAGCAGTAAACAGCTACCTAAACAATCCCACAGACACCTTGGTTGCAAGCTGCATGGAGATCTGCATAGCATGGCAAGAGACAGGTGAGGATAAAAAATTATCACCATGTAAGTTATTAGAATGAAACAGCTATAAACAAAACAGAATTGTGTTGAAATCCTGGTTCCAGCTTTTGAGTTCTCTGCACTGTTGCTTGGATTTGAATTTGATTCCCAGGATAACAATTGCATATATATTGACAACAGTATTCAAAGGATTTGTTTTCTTGCTTTGCAGTCTCCACTGCTGGTTTGCATATTGCTGAATGACTGTACTTAAATGAGCTGTACAAGAGGAAGGAGTTGCATGGTACAACAGGTAGGTAGCTCATGCACTAAGTAACATGCAGGAATCCTATCTTCTCGTCTACAATGAGTACCATGTAATTTCTGTCCACAGAGAATAGGTCAGATGTGGGGCTGGAAAGGGCACAGTACTGCTTGGTCCCTTAGGGTAAACAAGGCTTAACTTCAGTCAAAGAATTTGGGACTGTTAATAAAGCCCAGCTTTGTTAGGCAGCTGTCATGCTCGCACTGGCTAATGGCTGGGAGATGTGGTGAAGAGAAAGCTGAGGAACAAAGCAGCCCAAACATCACAGGAGGACTGGGATTGTGCAAAAAACTACAGACAGACCTGATTCATCCCAGCAGATCAAAGCAAAAGAAGGTAAAGCAAGATGCAGAAGATCTGCCAGACACAACCAGACATCAGGGTGCCCTCATAGTCTAGTCCTGCTCTCATTTTTTCCATGACAGAAGGACCAGGCCTGTCTGCCACCTAGTCAACTTCTAGCCACCTAAGACCTTTTATCCCAATTCTGGCTAATCTTTTCCAGTGGTTTTGCTGCCTGGCTTTGCCTTCTGGTAACACTAACATTAGACTTTTGAATAAATAATAATTACAAAACACTGGCATTGAGATTTGCTGTAAGAAGCATTTTTCCACCACAGGGTGTAAGCTGCTTGCCACAATTTTGTTTGGCAAAAAAAGAGAGCAACTAACATATAATAACAATTATATTATATTACAATAATAATAATAATATCAAAATAACAAAATAAACACAGAGTAGTCAGATTTACAATGGTTACCTGTCTCCTGCATGTTATTTCTCCAAGAACTACAGAACATTATTTGGAGTAATTTTGCACTCAGTATTTTCCACCAGCTGCCTGTAGCCTGGAATGCCAGGGATCTGAATCAGGGTCAGGCCCCTGACACAGCAGAACTGCAGGCATATTTAGGCACGTGTTTGACTGTGTCTTGCTTATCTTGCAGATTGGCAATTTAAATTAAAATCCATACAATAAACAGGCATTTTATTTTGATATATCTACTTCAAACATTTCTAAAGTCACTCTTGAATGAGTTACAATGCCTCCAATATCCAAAATCTTTAGATGCTTGTGTCTAAAAATGGAATCAGGAGGTTTGCCCTTCACAGTCAAGACTCATGCAAGCCAATAGTGCTATAAACCAATTTTTCCATAAGCAGTAACAGCTCAGCTGTGAATCACTGGAATTCAGTGACTAACCTTTGGTGGAAATTAGAACTTGTTGCCTTAACCGGGGTTTTCTTTTGTACGTCAGAAACACCAGAAACAAAGTAAATCTGGTCTGTCTTATGTGTGTATACAGGAAGAAGAGGCAAAACACTGTGTAGTCATTTATAGCCATACCTTGAAAGGAAATACAGTGATTAGCAGGTGAAAAATTGCCATTTTTTAAATCTCAGTTTCTGCTAATAAATTGTTAAAATCACTGTTTGATCAGGCTTTTTTAGAGTGGCTCTCATCTTGCTCTCTAAAACTATAGAATGTGCAAAACCACTGCAAAACAATTCTTGTTCTGGTGTGCAAAAAATGTAGAGAAAAAAAAACAAAAACCTGCAAGAACAATGTACAGAATAGATCTGGATGACAGTCATTCCAAAGGCAAAATTATTACAGGCTATTATCTAGTTGTCTGGAGGAGCCATGGACCAGCTGGCTGTGATGTTCTGCTCAAAGTTAAACACAGACAGGAAACCGCATGTCTGATACTGTAAAAATCGTTTGTCTTCCTGCCATGGCTAACCAGGCAAGCAACCCAAAGGGGCTGTTTTCATTTAAAAGAAACACTAATCCACAACAATAAAAAAGGAATGACAAAGCCTCAATTCTCCCCACTCCTCACTGGAGTTAATGCCTATGTTTGTGAATGAACTGGAAATGTTATGAAGTCTTACATTGCTTTAATTTTTATCTGTAGTTATTCATTTAATACATATGAATGCAGCACATGGTTTTCATGAGTCACCTGAAGTGCTCACAGCACGTGACCTAGTGACCTAGAAGAAAAGGCTTCACTCAGAAGAGTGAAAGGAATTTGGGTAAAAAGACTGGGTTTAAACTTCTACTACTCCTTTAAGGTTGATCTGGAAGTATGAGTAAACTGCAGAGTTGATAGGAATCAAGGCACTTGGTGCTGAATTTCTCGAATGGTTTTCATAACCATACATGCCAAAGACACACATTTATAAGTGATTGCATTCAGCTACATAGCTCCAGGAAAAACAGCTATAATGTTATAACTCATAACAATTTAGCCAAAATCCACAAGGGTGTGGTTCATGTTGTACAAAAACACAAGACAGCTGACACAGAGTAAGATCTCTTCTCTGGGGAGAAGAGAATATTCTGGTCAACAAAACCAAGAAATCTGTTATAATTAGGTCCTGGGTCTACCACTTGTGCTCATATCAATACCAGTATATACTCCAAATCCTTTAAAGATCTTCCAAGTAAGGGTAGGTCACGCAACCACGGATCAGCAGTCAGGTTGTCTGGTTTCAAATCAAGCTTGACGAGGGGATGAGGAGGACAGGGATGAGGGGTGGCAGCAGATATGAACAGTCTGGGACAAGGTAAGCAAAGTCATGCTAGCTTGCTTTTGGCTAATTTGGTGTGGTTTTGTGACCTAAACTAGTTGGCCTTCTTGGAGGCTAGGAAGTGAGAGTTACAATCACTCACATAGTCCTTCACCTTAGTGCAGTCACACACCATGTTTCCCAGGAGTGGAAACAGCATCCCAACCCTTCATTATCTCAGGTAACAAGGGCCTAATTATACCCTTTTCTGAGGAATTTATGGGTGATGAGGATGGGAATGGTGTGCCACACCCCTTTAGAAGTGTGAATACACAAATTTCTCCATAGGAAACCTCACAGGAGACCCTGTGAGAAACCTGACTATGTTTCAGTAAAAGAACTACAGCAGGTAGGACAAAAAAAGCTCACGGAGTGTGTGCACCCATCAGGTTACCAGTAGCACCTCTATAAGCAGATAACACACTACAGCAATACAGCCTTTTAGAAGAGGTAGGACCTTAAAAATGGCATTTGCCTTTAGTTTAGACTTTATAATGTAATTAGCATGTGTTGCATTTTGGTGTCAACAGAACAACTGTAAAGATCTTGCTTTCATCTTCCATTAGCTTCTAAGTGCACTGTCTTGAGCTGAATATCAGACTTACTTCAAAATGAAGACAGCCTGGCAGAAGTATCCTCAGAACACAGAAAAGGTTGAGATTTTGCAAGATTCAAGAAAGACTAAAATAGCACCTGCCATTAGAAGTTCTTCCCCACAAAATGCAACTCCAAAGGACATCCGTATGACACAGTTAATATTAACATGGTTAATATTACTTGCAAGGAATGTAGAAATGCAAGGTAAATTATTAAACCTACCTGATGTAAAAATGAGCATATCATTGCATTCTTCACCTGTGCAGGAACACATGAACATCAATCCCCCATCATCCTTCTTTTCCCTCATCAAACATTGCTCTGATTTATAGTCATCCAAAAAGTGACCATACAGTGTTTCTTCGGGATCGTGGCATATTGTTTCTAATGTCACATTTTCATCATTCTGTCTCCTAGAAATGAAAAGGAGAAAACTGAAATCAAAAAAGGAATATTTTATAAAAGGGAGCAGACAGGACTGCATGTGCCCAAAATTTGCCTCTTTTGAGAACATAAATGACATTTAAAGAGCATCGTATGTTTTTCTCTGTCTTTCCTGAATGAGGCAAATTTGGCATCATCTGGCCTCCTCACATTTGTATAATGGCACAGATATTCCTGCATGATAGTACTCTAAGCTCACAAGAGTACCTCTGAAAATCTCACTTAGAATTATTCAAGCTTATGCTCAATGAACTGCTGTGAACTTCAGAACATACTTTTGGTTTTTGTGGTCACTAACCAGACAATAAAAATCTGTGGGAAATTATGATAAAAACTGAATTATTTCCTCAAAATCAGGGAATTTCTAGTGAGTTGGTCTTTTCATTTTGCTTTTGAAGCCTACAATCAACACAGTTTGTGCACTGAAGGAGTTATATACAAAAAACCCCTCAACCAACCAAAAATACCAGTTATAAAAACTGATGCAAGTTAGAGTTGCCTCACAGTCAGGGAAATATTTACAGCTGATAATCTGGACTATATTCCTGTATTTTGTCCTGGTCCACAGATTGAATTTCAATGACAAAAGACTTGAAGGCAAAAAGCACTTTACAGTTCTCAACTTACTTGCCTTTTGGATAAATGGTCATGAAAAATCCAACACGTATCTTAAATTGTACAACAGCTTCTTTTTATACACTGATGACTTACTAAAGAAGCACAGGAGAAATATGGAAAAGCACACTGGACTGATCCTGAACTGAAATGCCTACTTCCAATTATGCTTAACATCTCAAGTCAATGGACACAACTATTCCCTCAGTACATGAATTAGTTATTCCCCTCTGTAAGTGGTTCTAATTATTTTACTAAATCAGCAGCAATGCTGCAAACACTCAGTTGTGTTCCTTTAGTCCAGTTATTAACTCTTCAAGAGTGTTTGTGGCTTTCTTTTGTAGGATTGGATTCCCATTTATGAAAGAGCAAGAGAAGCTTCAGTTTTTAAACTGGAAAAATTTATTGGCTTAAAGCCAATAAATCGTAAAACAGTATTATAACTCATTTTCATAGACTCTTGATTTCTTTAAACCTAGACAGAGGCTATATAAAAAGCATCATGCCTACATCAAAGCCTCTACCTACAGAGTTTTTTTCCCATTAGGAGGAAGTATTTCTACCTATACATGGCAATAAGCCTCTTGTACTAAATCTACATAATCTAGTCCCCTTGAAACCTGAGAGAGAATCGTCTTTGTTCAGCAACTGTCACTACAATCCTCTCTTGAGCCTCAAATCTGTTTCTACTCTTGAGTGCTGTGAGTGGATACAGCTTAGTGGCTTGCACAAAACCATGCCTCTTTTCCAGTAACAGCTTAAGCAGGAACAGAACTGTTTTAGAAAAAAAAACAAGTCCCCAGAACATTTCATATCAGAATTGTTAACCTCAAGCAACTCCTGGTATGCTGTGCAGAGATATGAGTTGGAAGCAGAAGAGCAAAACCTGGTGAGGTAGCAGGGATATTCTGAATATCAGAGCAATCAAGGAAATTACTAAGCAGTGATGAATGAGGGTGTGGTCCTGTCCCACCTGTATGAAGAAATAACTTACCATATAGCAACACAGACTTCACTACTCTTCTCACAGATAGAAGTGATGTTACAGTTGCTCTTACACTGATGTTGGTTTGAGCAGGTTGTTACTTTAATATCACAAAATTTGCATAGGTTTGGCATTTTCAGTCCACCTTCCTTATTTCTTTCCACAGGTGATGTAAATTCAGCTTAAGAAAAAAAAAAAAAAAAAGGAAACTCAATAATGGTAGATGATCAGATTGCATTATTGCTTTTTATGAAGATAAGGTTTTCATCAGCAGCAAACATTTCCTCTTACCTTAAATTAGAAAATTTTTGATCTTTCACAGCTACCAATTTTCTTTACAACAAGGTAAGTGCCACGATGTCAAGACCAGGTTAATCAAAGTGAATTTGAAAAGCAAAATTAATTTCTATTGAATTCAAATGAGCAAAAGTTGCTTCATAATGTGCAGAATCAGGTATTTTCCAAAACCAGTTTACACCAAAATAGCTCCTCTGCACTCACCCATTTGCATTACTCACAGGCAGTGTATCTGTCCCCCGTGCATAACACTGTGTCATGGTCTGTGCCACAGTAACTGCGGGTTCCACACTGTGAATGCACATTAGCTGTGTGACATCATTGTAACATGGATCAGCATGAATTTTGCAATTTTGTCTTTACTAACCTGAGGCATAACCTAGGTGTCATCCCTAATCTAATTACTGTTTACACATAAAAACTACAGAGCAGGAACAGACTTTGAGCTTAAGGTAGATGGTCTGCCAGAGGATGTGGGTGAAACTCGAGCTAGAGATGCAATAGGGCATCTGTGCAGCTCATGTGATCTACTGCAGGAATCTAACTGGGCTAACTGCAGGGGACCTGAACTCAAACTAACTTGCAATGACAGCCTGTCTTGTTGATGCCTACCTTGACCCAACAGATACTTTTCTGCACCCAGAAATTGAATAATTACATGCTTACTGGTTCTGAGTCTCAGTACTTACCATCTGCTTCAGTGTGGCAGCAGTAAGGAAAGAGATATTTTTTGTGCCAGTGTTTGAACTTCAGGAAACATAGGTTATAGGCTTTTCTTTTTAGCTTAAGAACTATTTTTAAAAGACAGTGCAACTACAAGGAACAGAAAATGCTGACACAAAATTCTTTATAAAGCTAAAACGAACATGCAACTATCTGAAGTGGAGCAGACAATCAACAACAGTTTCATTCTGAATCACTTTGCAATGTAATTGGAAAAGTAGGGTGAACCACTTTGAGAAGATATTGGGCTTACATGCAGCACAGCCCTTCTCTTGTAGCCACCTGTGTGTTAAAACTGTGCTCATATTGCTTTCTGTAGCCAAATGCTGCTAGTCAACCCGTAACAGTCAACCAGGGATTTATAATTTCCCCCTCTCTACTCAATTTGCTGAGAAATCAATTTTTTCCTTCTAGAACTTCACTTTTTACTACCATTAGATTGTTTTACTACAGGAAATAAATATACATGATTTTTTCCAGGAGGAAATAAAAGGGCCTCTTGCTAATTTTTTCAATTGAGTTCTGAACCATTGTGAGAGACTGAGAGAAAGGTCTTCTCTCTTCATCCAAACCACACATCTTTCTCATCACTAGCATGCTCTGGTACTGACCTAAGGTTTCTGATCTAACATCCACTATAATCAGTGGCAAAACTTCCAAAAGTTTTATGGTATAGAAGAAGATGCTACTGAGAGGGGTGGTTAGGAAGAGCTCACAGGGTGTGGCAGTGTGTTCCTCCATGCTTTTTGCTTAAGCAAGAGCTAAGAGTGAGGGCTGCACCTGGCTTAAAACTGGACTCTGGGAAGACAGATAACAGCACAATAGCTGAGGGCCATAAAACTTACTCAGCAGCTGAGGTCTAGTTGAGCATGTGCCAACCAAAATTCAGCTGGCATGCAAATACAAGTCAATCACCCTACTCCATAAATAGGGAACAGCCCAGGGTCTGCTGAGCTCTCCTGCACAGCTGTGGGCTGCATGCCAGGATCTCCCCTTGAACAGGGATGCCTCTTGAGGTTGCGAGAATCCTTATTGCATTAAATACTCAGTAAGTGAAAGGGGAGTAAGCATGCTAAAACTTTGAGATAAAGGATTGTTTGTGCACATATAATCCTCTAGACCTAAGTTCCTAGCCTGGAACTAGGTCTGGATCCAGCCACACCTGGAAACCACCTGAGAAAGGGGTTTAGAATGCAAGGGGGTCCTTTCTGAACCTCATGACTCAACATGAAGGGTGTCTCTGACAGTTTTGTCCCACCTTGTCCTCTATGCAGTAAATAACCAAGTGTATGTTACCATCAAAGCTTGTTACAGCACTGTCACGTTTACTATCAAACTTTGTCAAAATAAACATTGCTACTTTTCCGAGGGAAGTGTGTCACCCCATCTGCAACACTGGGAGCTTACACGGATGGAGAATGCTGGCAGTATATTATGGGCTGGCAGAATTTTAAGCCCCAGGTAAACATTTCTTGTTCCTAATTATATGTGTTGCAACAGCTCCCAGTAGCCATGTAGAGGAACAGTGCCTCATTGAAGTAGGTGTGGTAGGAACTCAGAAGGTCCTGAATGGTATTCTATGAAATACATGTCAACGTAATCCTCACTATAGCAAATGGTACATCTCTTCTGGATGGTGCACATCTTATCACATGCTGAAGATAAACTGATAGCTGTCACAATTTATCTAGGTTGCAGTAATGATCAAAACAACCTGATAGTGAGGGACTGTTCCTCTACCCAGAAAAAAAAAACAAAACGCCAATCCATGGTCCTAAAAGCCTGGAATGAAAACAGAGACAAATACTGAGGGAGAAGTGAAGTGACTCACCCAAATGTACACAGGAAACCTTTGACAGGGGTGCCAAGCATCTCACAACTGAGCACAGGGGAAAGGCATCAGCTGCATCTATGCTGCTTTCAGCTCTGAGCTCACATGGCAGATGTGACACAATGGATGCCTTGCCATAAACATGACTGGTTCCCTCCAGTGTCCACAGCACTGGAGCCAAGAACCACATGAAGGTTGGTCCTTAGGTAACTGTTTCAAGCACATTAGATTTGTTGAGAGAAAGGGTTTTGTTCCTATGCCATCCCTGGCTGTGCCAGGTTCTACCAAGCCTCACCCACTGGAACAAATGGATGAAAATAAACATGTTTGGACCTCTTTCAAGGAGGGATATCCAAACCAAAGTACTTGATTAAAAAAAAAAAAAAAAAAAAAAAAAAAAAAAAAAAAAAAAAAAAAAAAAAAAAAAAAAAAAAAAAAAAAAAAAAAAAAAAAAAAAAAAAAAAAAAAAAAAAAAAAAGGAAAAAAAAAGGAAAAAAAAGATGTCATCTGGAAAGCAGCAATCCCCTGTAAGGTCACAAACCTTAAGTTTCTAAGGTAGGCATTAGTTTAATCACTAGCAATAGTAGAAAAAGGTTGGCCAGTTAGGACCAGGTAATTTCTGATCAGGTTTAATGACAATCAAAAGCTAATTGTGTTTTGGGACTTCCAGAATTGACTACACTTGTATTTTCTCCCTGAAATTCTTCTAAGAGAGGCTGACAGATCAGTGACTCTTTATTCATGCCTCTGGCAGATCAAAAAACTGTCTAAACTGCCCAGGTGGACAAATTTTATTCCATGCTTGAACATTTGGTTTAAACTGAGACCACAGTTTACTTTCCCTAAGTCTGTCATAATGCTCTAGCAGGTGTTGGTCTGCTGTTTGTTATTACTCCTTGGCCTTGTCCACTGTGATAACCCATCTAGTTCCAAACTAAAGCCAAGTTTGACTATTTCTATCTGATGCCAAAACCACACCCTGCAGATGGCCTGAGAGGAAATCTGGAGTTAGATAGGAATGTTGACGTCACTCTTTGATTACAGACTTCTATTAGACTCTGAGAACTTAGAAATCCTGACAAGATGGGTCTTCTTCCAAGTCACATGAACTCACACCTATATTTAATCAACAAAGTCCTGCCTGGAGAATGACAAATTGGTAGGATTCTTCCCTAGGAAAGTGTATTCTCTCATTCCCTGAGGGACTCATAAGCAAGAAGCAGTTCAGGACTAGCAGACTGCAACTCTTGTAGTCACTGAAATGTTCACCTCTAAAAATATTTTACTATCCTGCTGCATACTTCATACCACATGAGCCATCTTCTTAAGATTTCTTCCTGTTAAGAAAACCAAAGTCACTTGAACACTGTGGTCAGAAGCAACCTTTGATTTTGCATGAAAAAAAGTGGATATAATGAAAAAGTTAACAGAAAAATCACAGATTTGCACAGGCAAATGAAGCCATCCTAAAATGTGTGCTTGTCTCCTAAAACTTGAATTTGCCATCCCATGTCTAATGTTAGTTTTCTTATTTTGACTTCTACAGGAAGACTAATTCTAGCTTTCCTTGCTCCTTTGTCCATGGAGAGGGCTCCAAATAAAAGACTGTGGTTTCTTGGCTATGAAACTTTCAGCCAAGCAGTTCAGCAGAGATCAGCCGCTGTAGTTAAAATGTACGGAACATGCAAGCCAACATGTGGGCTGGACATTATGGAAGAGACACTTGAGCAGTCACATTAGAAATGTCCACTCCATGGATTCTGGTGGAGCCAGGCTTGCAGAATATCACTCTCTTCTGTGGTTCACATCTTTATTTATGATTTCTTGGGACATCATAAACAGGGCACCTCACCCAAAGTCTATTGACTTCACTTGAAGTGGTTTGTTTTGCATCTGTTGTCTGTAGATATGTAATTTCTATTGAGGACTAATATTGTAGTTTACTTTTCTCTTATTTTTAATATCATTACAGAATTCTCATAAGTTAACGACATTAAATAATGCCCAAACTAACATGCTTTCTTTTTGGAAATATCTACACTGGAAAACTTTTTATGTCTTAGGATGCATTTCAGAAATAGCAGCCGATTTCTCTTACTCCTATTTTGTAAAATCCTGTCACAGCATTTCTATTTTCTCATCCAGTGTCTCTGGCACATGTATACTTATAAAACAGTAGGCAGATCCAATTCACCCCCCAAAAAAAAAAAAATGCTGCGAGAGATGTTGGGATGGGAACTCAACTACTCAGCTGTTGTGAGATAATTCCACCTGACAGGAGAGATTTGAAGCTTTGACTCCACTACATAATGGAAATCTGCCAGGAGGAC